GAGCGAGCCTCACAAGAATGGAGAGTAAGCCCAAGGTCCCATGACTGCAATGTCTTGTCGAATGCTAGAAGCATTCAGCGATCCACCCGTGGTAGCACACTCCTGTAATCCCAACTTCTCAGGCGGCAAAAATGGGAGGACTGCAGTCCCCAGGCTCTTCTGGCAAACACACGAGACCCTGTCTGAACAACACTAAAAGCAAAAAGGGCCTTGGGGGAGTGTCGTGTGACTCAGAAGGGATCAGCCGCCCGTCACAAGTACAAAGCCCCGCGCCACGCCCCACACCACAAGCAAGGACTCTTGAGTTTCCCTCTTCTCTGTAGGAACGCGCTCCGTAGAAAGATCTGGAGGCAGTGGACGGAGGGAAGGAGGGGGAGGGAAGGAGGGACAGGCACGAAGATCTCTGGAGTGAAGAGCGGGCAACAGGTGGGGGGGGAAGGGGGGGAGGGGGGCTGGGGGAGGTGGGGGGAGCACGAGGAGGAGAATCATGTGGCTGAGCCATGCCAACTTCAGCTCAGAGTTTCCAGAGGGACTCATTTCTCCAGGGGAAATAACAGGACAACAGCACACGCCGGCAGGGGGCTGAAGATTGAAGACGAACCAGATCCCTGCCTAGCAAGTGCAAGGCCCTGAGTTCAAATCCCAGTACTGCCAAACAACAACAAAAAGGCACCTGATCCAAGGCCTTGAAAGTGGAGATTGGCTGCTGGGGCTGCCCTGCCCGAGGCCCCGCGGTGGCTCTCCGGGCTCCCACAGCGGAGCCCGTGACACCTACGTCTTGTGTAGCAAGGGTTTGCACGTGCACACGCACACATACACAGCATGCACACGACCATCCGTGTGCACGCAGATGCACAGCATGCTCACACGCACATACAACCCCAATACATGCACGCACAAGCACACCTGCCTGCAAGCACACAGCCACATCTGCAGATGCAACCATGCATGTGTGTGGCACACGTGTGTGTGCATGCCTAACATGCACACCTATGTGTGCACGCAGACGAGGAGGAGAGGCTGGAGGGGGGAGGCCTCAGCACCAGCAGGCTAAAGATCTGGTCCCTGGCTCTTTAACCTTTAGGTCACCTTGAGGAAACCAAGGCTGGCAGAGCTACTTCCAGCTGGGTCATCTCCGGTCCTTCTTGTGACAGACTGCCGCCGGTGACTGGTGGCACGGCTCCACGCCCACAGCGGGAGCCACAAACCACCCACCCACCGCTCCCCGCCTGGCCCAGCCAAGCCTGCAGGCGAGGGACAGGCCTGGGACGCGCCCCGCAGCCCTAGGACAGCCCGGACACAGTGACCCGGGCTCCGGGCAGGCCCTGGGCCTCTGGATTTGCTAGCTGAGGTTCTGCCAGGTGTTTGCTCCGGGGAGACCCACCCCAGCCACCATGGCACCCACGTCCCACGCCATCCCCATGACTCCGTGCGCAAGAGGGAGAGCGCACTTCCCAAGAGGAAGAGCTGCTCACTGCTGGGAGGAAGGAGAGCTCCGCTTTGCCCTCCCCTGCCCTCCCCTGCCCTCCCTCCCCTTCCCTTCCCCTCCTTCTCCCTCCCTTTCCTTCCCCTCCACTTCTTTTCCCTTCCTTAGGTAAGCACTCTACCACTTGAATCTCCCCTCCCTCTCTCCCTCCCTCCCTCGCCTTCTCCCACAGGCTATCCTGGAACTTCCCATCTAATTCCCCTGTCAGAGCCTCCTGAGTGCTGGGACCATAGGCACGCACCACCATGCCCAGCTTCTAACAGAGAGTTCTAGAACCAGAAACAGGCCAACTGTGATCAACTGGGAAAGGAAATGTGTGAGGTGAGGCTCCGTGGTAAAGTGTTGCTGAGCACGTGTGGCATTAAAGTATGAAACTGCTGTTTAATAAAATGCCTGCAGTGGTGCAGGTCGGTAATTCCTGTACTGGGGAGGCTGAGGAAGGAGGATTTTGAGACCAAGGCCAGCCTGACTACATAGAAAAAGGAGGGAGGAGGGAAGGAAGAAGGGAGGGAGGGCAGGAGGGAGGGAGGGAGGGAGGGAGGGAGGGAGGAGAAAGTATCTTTAAAAAAGAAAACGTGGCGGCAGGTGTGGTGGCACACAGCTGTCACGTGAGCTCCTTGGGAGGCAGCGACAGAAGGATCCCGATTTGAGGCTGCCCGGGCAAAAGCTCAAGACCCTATCTGAAAAACAAAAAGGCAAGATGGACTGGAGTGTGGCTCAAGTTGGAGAATACGTGCAAGCCAAGACCCCAAGTTCAAACCCCTCAAAAGGAATTAAAGGAACACATTTTGGAGGGCAGTGAGCGGAACCCACTCTAACTCAATGGGCTTCGCACGGTCAGCCGGAAGATGAAACATGTTTGGGAATTTCCGGAAGCCACTAAATAACTGGAGCAGGCGGGTGGATGGGAAAGAGAATTCTAGGAAGATTTTATCTGATTGGTGGAGGAGATGATGGTTGGGGTTAAGGTGGGAGCTGGGGGCGGGGATTTAAGAAAAAATTACAGTAGCCCAATGGACATATTTGGACCTTGAGCTTCTAATTAAGGCGGAAGCAGGAAGACGGAAATCAGGACATTCGATCCTGCTGCCCTCAGCTGGGGAGGCTTGCATGATAGGCACATGGTTTTTGTTTTTTGTTTTTGCTGGTCATGGGTCTTGAACTCAGAGCCTGGGCGCTGTCTCTGAGCTTCTTTTGCTCAAGGCTAGCGCTCTACCACTTGAGCCACAGCACCACTTCTGGTTTTCTCTGTGTATGTGGTGCTGCGGAATCGAACCCAGGGCCTCATGCATGCAAGGCGAGCGCTCTACCACTGAGCCACCTTCCCAGCTCTGCACCTGATTTAAAAAAAAAAAAAAAAAATTCTGGAACACTTGTGACTTTTCCCCTTCTCCAGGAACTAGAGTGGAAAAATCAGTCCTTTCCCAGATGAGTCACCTCAAGTAGAGAAATGGTTCCACTCGCTGACCCTCAGGACTTTAATTATCTCATTTAAATCAGCTAATACCCCTCTGCTGGCCTGCAGGCCGGGCCTGGAATGTGGACTGGCTCCTGGACCCTTTGAACTCTTGAGTGATTTTCCTTATCATTGGCCTTTGTATTTTTTCTTCGCTGTCTTCTTTGTGGTCTTGGGGGTTGAACTCGGGGCTGGTAAAGCATGTGTAGCTGGGACTACACACACACCTGTTTGTTGAGAGGAGGTTGACCTCTAGAGCCTCTGGTTCTAAGCCTCCTCATTGGCTGGGATTATAGATGTGAGCTACCATGCTGGGCCCTTTTAAATTTTTGCTTTGTTTGTTTTTTAATTCTTATTGTTATTTTTAACTTAAAAAACAACCCACAAGACTCTACCGCATCTAATTCTCTCCCAACCGCCGGGCCATCCCAGAATGGGGGAAAATTACTTGTTGGGTCTCTCTGCTGGGTTTTCCCTGGTGCCTCTGAGGGAGACAGTTCAGGGAAGTAAGGATCTTCAAATGTGATTGGCAGACCCAGCGATGGCTGAACAAATAATACCTCACTTCCCCTAGCAGGAGCATCATAGGCAAAAAGAATGAATGAATATGAGAGAGAGAGAGGAAAAAGAAAAGAAACAAAAGGCCTGCCGGGAAGCCAGGTGCCGGTGGCCACCTGCGCTAGCTGCTAGCAGCTTCTGGGGAGTCTGAGATCTGAGGGTGGAGGGTTAAAGGTAGCCTGGGAAGAAAGTGTGTGGGGGAGGGAGGGACTCTGTCCCCAGTCACTCAGCCAAGCTGGAAGAGGAGCTGAGGCTCTAGTGCAGAATCCTGAGGGACAGGCCCTGAGTTCACGCCCCAGGGCCGGCACACACACGTGTGTGCACACACACACACACACTCACAAATAAAAAGCCTGCCCCGCAAGCCAGCCTGTCACCCAACACGAACTGGCCTGTTCACCCAGGAGCCCCAAGAGGTGACTCAGTTTCCCTTGGCAGAATCTCACTCCTATGATCTGTGTCCCACCTCCTGTGGGCGGAGGCCTGCGGGGGTGGGGGGGGAGGAGGGTGGGAACCCCTCCTTCGGTCCCACCTCCTGCCACCCCGCAGGAGCCACAGCCTCTGCCCCTCACTCCAGGGAACAAACCTACCTGCGCCCCCTCCCCGGCCCCTCCTTCACAGGGGCGGGGCCAGCCCGAGTCCAGGGTGCGGAACGGGCGTGGCTTACAGGGGGCGTGGCCCGGGAAGGGGCGGGGCCATCCAGGCTAGCGTTGACTGGGCGTGGCTTGTGTGGGGCGTGGCCCAGGCCGTGGTGAGTAGCGTCTTCCCCGCTCCTCCTCCTCGGGGCGGAGCCATCCATCCCAGAGTGTGGGGTGGGCGTGGTTGGTGCGAGGGTGTGGCTTGTGGGCGTGTCCTGGGCGTGGCCCGGGTACCCTCTTCCCTGCTCCTCCTCCTCAGAGCAGAGCTATCTAGTCCAGACTGCGGGCTGGGCGTGGCCTGTATGGGGGCGTGGCCTGGCAGGGGCTGGCAGCCTCTTCCCGGCTCCTCCTCTTCTGGGCGGAGCCGTCCAGTCCAGAATGCGGATTGGACGTGGCATGGACGGAGGCGTGGCCTGGGCGTGGCGCGGGGCGTGGCCCGGGGCAGGGGCACACGGCCTCTTCCCCGCTCCTCCTCGGGGCGGAGCCCACCTGCGGCGGGAGGCGCGGACGATGGGGGCGCGGCCTGGGCTTGGGCGGGACAGGTGGGGTGTGAGGTGCTGCGCGGAGCTGCGGGAGGCCAGAGCGGAGGCTGCCGATCATCGGGGCGCCGGGACCAGCGAGCGAGCCCGCCCGCCCCCCTGCCAGCCCAGGGCCGGCGTGGTGGTCCCCGGGCGGCCGACACGCCCGGAGCATGCCCCGGAGCCCGGCTGGAGCGCGCCCGGGGGACCCGGCCTGAAGTTCGGGGCGCGGCGCCATGGGGAGCCCCCGGGCCGCGCTGCCGCGGCTGCTGGCGCGCCCGGCCCGGCTGCTGCGAAGGCGCTTCCGGCTGCTGCTGGGGCTGGCCGCCGTGTCGCTGGGGCTCTGGACGCTCTACCTGGAGCTGGTGGCGTCGGCCCAGGACGGCGGGAACCCGCTGAACCGCAGTGAGTGGGGCCGGGGGGCGCCCGGGGTGTGGGATTGCCGTGGGGGGGGGGGTGCACCTCGCCGTCCTGGGGGGTCCCCCAGCCTGTCCCCCCGACCGCACCCACCCATCGCCGTCCCGGACACCGTGCGGTGCGTCTGTCCGTCCGTGCCTCAGTGGTCGCTCCTGTTCCCTGCAGTCGGTGTGGCCACCGGCAGCGACCTTTCCATAAAGGCCACTTGAATGGTGGGGAGACCCCCCCCAGCCCCGTGCAGCCCCAGGGGGCACCGAGGACCCTCGGAGGGGAGAAGGCGCTGGGCGCTCTACCCAGAGCGGGTGTGGTGTTTTTCCTCCTCCCGTGGCCAAGGAAAAAAGAGGGAATTGCTGGGGACAGTGAATGAGCCGGCGAGGCTGGACGTGTGCGTGTGCACGCGTGTGCACGGGTGTGCGGGCACGAGGCTTGAACTCAGGATCCTGGAGAGCTCTCCCTTGAACTCCACGCTGCGCTCTCCTTCTGGCTTTCTCTCTGGTTGATTGGAAAAGAGTTGGATTTGTCTGCTGGGGGCTGGTCTCAGACTGCGATCCTCAGATCTCAGCCTCCCAAGCAGCCAGGAGTTGCAGGTGTGAGCCGCCCCCCCCCCACGGGCTGCAAGGGAGGGTGCTCCGCCACCACGGCCAGGTGGAAGGAGGGGAGCCGCAGCTCCTCTTGTCTTAAACGGCCTCAGCGCCCCCCACTCCATGTGGACACTGATTGTCACTTGAGTGTTTCCAGGCGCAGGGCGGCTACCGGGAGGAAGGCAGCCTTCTACCAGCTCACCATCGGCCCAGCTGCCTCCTCTTGACAATCTTGCTCTAGCACTTTCTCCGCCGATCAGCCTCAGGTGGCTGGACTCCACAGGTTGGGCCCAGCATGGAGTCCCTGGAGAGGCCTCTCCCTCGCTTTTGCCCCTCATCCTTGGGACCCACCCTCCTCCCAGGGCATCTTGGCTTTCTCATTCTGAGCCATCGGTTCTAGAATCTGCCAAGTTCCCTTCCTGGATGAAGCTGACTTGGTTTTCTTATTCTTTGTTTCTTTTTCCGAAGGCTCCTTCTCAAAAAAAAAAAAAAAAAAAAGTTCCCAGTGTCTGATTCCAGAACTGGCTTTCGGCGTCGCTTCGATTTTATTCACTGTTTTTTAAAAACGTGTTATTATTTGAGACAGGGCTTGGAACTCTCCATTCTCTTAGATTATCTCCCCCCCCCCCCAAACACACACACACACACACACACACACTCACACACAAACACTCGCTGGGATTACAGGCATGCACCACCATGCTTGGATTTCACGCCGTAGGTTTTTTAACAGGTGGCCAAGCCTGGGCATGGAGGGCCCGCTGGTTTCCTTCCCTCTGTCTCCTGGAACCCATGGTCCATCTGTGACAGAACGGGTCCCCTCCTTTGACTGTGGTGGTGGCTCCCCGCGTCCCATCTGCTTTACGTGTCACCAAGCCAGGTGTTTGGCATCAGGGTCCCCTCTGGTCCTACAGATGGAACCGGCCACTAGGCGCTGTTCCTCTGCAGGGTGGGGGGGGGGGTCATAGGAGGAGGAACGAGGAACACAAGGTAGAAAAGCGCTGTAGCTTTCCTCCACACTCTGCATACTGGCAGCAACCGGAGTTGTAAAACTGCCCTCCGGGGACTGTAGTGGGGCCCTGACCACAGCTGCCGTGGCCCCCTCCTGCCCTGCCCCCTCTCACCCCCACCCCCGGCCTCCTTTTTCTAGTAATCGTTGCCAGTTTTCGCCACCGCCAGCCCCGCTGCCCAGAGCCTGTGATTTGCCTGTCCCTGGGAGAAGTCCTCGAAAGATGGCAGTCACCGAGCGGCAGGCTGGCGGAGTAATGACAGGGAGGGAAGGCCACATCTCCCACCGTGAGCTCTGGAAATAACCCCCCGAAGCTGGAGACGTGGAGGTGGACAATTTGGACCACATGTGCAGAAAAAGATGTAACCGCAGTTGGGAGGAAAACAACCGAAGTCATTCACAAGTAGAGGAAGAGGGATGAGACTGGGCGCTCGCCCGTGGCACAGACGCTTATTTAAGAGCAAGCACAGGGCTGGGAAGGTGGCTCAGTGGTAGAGCGCTTGCCTTGCATGCCTGAGGCCCTGGGTTCAATTCCTCAGCACCACATAAGCAAAAAAGAAAAAAGCCGGAAGTGGTGCTGTGGCTCAAGTGGTAGAGCGCTAGCCTTGAGCTGAAGAGCTGAGGGACAGCGCCTAGGCCCAGAGTTCAGGCCCTACAACCAGACCCCCCCCCAAAAAAAAGAGCAAACACACCCTGAGCAGAGTAGATAAGAAGTTTCTGAAATCTCAGCCCTCCTTCCTGGAGGGTATCAGGTGCCTATAGAAAATAAAAAACAAAACAATCATTAAGTTTCCCAAATGTAGCAACTAGGTGTGGCCAGGCCACTGCTCTGACTCCGTTCACAAAAGTGAGACCACCTGAGAACAGCTTGGCGGCAGGATGAAGATTTTGCAACGTTACAGAAAGGAGGCCATCCTGACAGAAAGAACAACATATCCAAAGACACAGCTGGACAAGTGGCTCATACCTGTAATCCCAGCTACCTGGAAGGCAGAGAGAAGAATTGTGGTTTGAGGCCAGTATGGGCAGAAAGTTCTTGAGGTTTTTTTTTAATCTCCATAGAGAACTGGCTGTGCTGGTGAGTGTCTGTTACCCTAGCTATTTTAGGAAGCCTAAAACAGGTAGCTGGAGATCTAGGTGTGCACCTGGGCAGATAACAAGACCCTAGCTTCCAAATAACTAGTTAGAAAACATAACTGGAGGTGTGGCTCAGTGGTAGAAGCCCCTGCCCAGCAAACTCAATGCCCTGAGTTTGAATTCCAGTACTGCTCCGCCCGCCCCCATTTCTACAAAAAAAAAAAAACGTAGAGAGAATTCACATTCAGAATACTGAGCAGCCAGGGGGGATCTTGCATAAGACTTTCCTGTCACCTGTGGCTCGCGCCAGCTATTCAGGAGGGCTGAGATATGAGAATTGAGGTTCAAAGCTGGTCCGGGCAGGAAAGTCTGTATGACTTGTGTTGCCAGTGAACTACACACACACACATACAAAAAAGCCAGAGGTAGAGAGAGCTGTGGCTCAAGTGGTAGAGCATAAAAGCTCAGGGACAGCATCCAGGCGGGAGTCAAACCCCAGCCCGCACACATACAAAGGGGAAGGCTCTGAAGAGCAGGCTCCGTGGCATCGGGGCTCTGGGACAGGGGCAGGGGCCAGCTGGTGGTGGGCTCTAGGGCCTGGGGCTGCCACTGCACATAACCACCCCCCTGCCGTGTGTCCAGCGACGCCCTGTGTTTTTGCCATCTCCCGCATGGCCTTGAGTGGCTGAAAAGCACCCCCGGGAAATGGAGCCTCCCGGAAGGAAAAAGATTCTCCATCCGCATCCGCGCAGGTGTGAACAAGCTCTGGCTGTCTCTGCAGATTGGATTATAGCTAGGGATCTGAGGAGCCTCCTCCGCTTCTTTCCTTCCTAAGTCACCTACTGCCAGGACCGGCCAGAGTCAAGACATGACGTTTGGGCCCAGAGCCAGAGTTGAGTGGCTTCAGGCCGGGAGCCAATTGGCCAGAGCTGTCTCCCTGGTCCACCTCCGGGGACAGCCTGGGGGGGCCTTCCAGTCCCCCACCCGACCCCAGCCTGGCACTCTGCTTCGGAGGGCATTCAACCCTCCAGTGCTGGTAATGTGAGCCGCGGGCAGGGGGAGGGAGGGAGGGAGCGCCTGGCTCTGTGTGCCCCGCCCCCCCCCCCCCCCCCCCGTGGAGTAGACCTGGCCGGTGTGGGGGTCCCTGTGGGAAGAGCCATGACACACTGCCTGGCAGGCCAGCTTTTCCCTTCCACGCTCCGTCGGCTCGCTTTCCCGTATTGAACTTACGGTAGTGTTATTTCACCCATCTGTTGGGCTGCGCGCATCACCGAGTTAGTACCCGTCCTGGGCAGGCATGGCAGAAGCTTTGTTCCGGTCATGGATAGTCGGGTCCGAATGTGCAAGTTCCCTGCCTTTTCCCCTAGCCAATACCCTCCTGAGCAGCCCAGGAATTCTTCCCTGGGCCAGCATACTTCCTACCCAAACAAGCCAGGCACCGGTGGCTCACACCTGTCATCCCAGCTACTCAAGAGGCCGAGGCCTGAGGATCTCAATTTGAAACCAGCCTGGGTAGGAAAAGCCATGCGATTTTAATCAGCAAAAAGCCGGAAGTAGTAGAGCTGTGGCTCAAGTGGTAGAGCGCCAGCTTTGAGTGGAAAAGCTCAGGGACAGCGCCCACTCCCTAAGTTCAAGCCCCAGGACCAGCACACACACACAAAAATAGATGATAGGTGGTTAGATAAGATAGATCAATGATAGATGATAGATGGGTGGATGGATAGATAGATAGATGGATGGATGGATAGACAGACAGACAGATAGATACAAAAGCAAATGGAAGGATGCCATCAGCCCTTCTTTATAAGAGTATCTGGCTGGGTCCCAGTGGCTCCCGCCTGTCATCCTAGCTACTCAGGAGGCTGAGATCTGAGGATCAAGGTTCAAAGCCAGCCCAGGCAGGAAAGTCCATGAGATTCTGATCTCCAATGAACCACCAGAAAACCAGCTGTTAAGCTGTGGCTCAAGTGGTAGAGCGCTAGCCTTGAGCTGAAGAGCTCAGGGACAGCGCCCAGGCCCTGAGTTCAAGCCCCAGGACCAACCAAAAAAAAAAAAAAGAAAAGTGTCTGGCAGCAGGAATGCGTGCTTGACGAGAGACTACCGTATTTGGTGTCTGTCCCTTCCTGGTCTCTTCTGTTCCTCTTCTGGGGGACCTTCCTTAGCCGCATGCGTGTCTTTGCGCCCCTCCCCGCCCCGCGTGGCCTCCCCCGCAGTGCCCGCCCGCAGGCCTGCTCCTCATACAGGCCCTTCTCTGTTCTGGTTCGCAGAGCCGGCTGGGGGCACTGCCGTAATTTTCCAGGCCTTGCTCTGGCTGGGCCGAG